CCTTGCGCTTGTGAGGCAGGCGACGGAACCACTGAGCTAAATCCCCCGGCCCATCCATTGGGCTTTCTTAAGTTAATATTTTGTAATCTAAAGAAAGGAGGGGCAAGGAAGATGTGGGCAGGGGGCTCTGAGGGCTTCTTTGGGGCACAGGTAGCCTGCCCGTGACCCAGGCTCAGGCTGGCAGGTCCTGGCCACCCACAGGCACAATGTCTGTGGTGTGTGCTTCCAGGGCCTCATGGTCAGCTCACTCTCAAATGTGTCCTGTGCCCTAGACACCTCCACTGCAGTGAGCAGCCAAGGTTTACCCCAAAGAGTCAAGAGGTCCTCTTCTTCCCCTCTCTCCTTCTCCCCCTTGGACCCACCCTGTTACCCATCGGAGAGTGCTTGCTCAGAGGGACTCGTGTCGGGCAGGGCTGTGTGAGGCCGGGCCTGGGGACAGACTTTTTCTAGACACCCAGTCCAGGCAGAGTGTGGCCAGAGCAACTGGCAGGGGTAAGGCAGGGTGGCTGTCTCAGGCCAGGAGGGCTCAGCCTTGGTCCTGGGGTGTGGGGGAGGCTGTCTGAAGGAAGTGTGTCAGAGCAGAGCCTGGGTGGGTCACGCAGTCCCCAGCAGGACAAGGAGAGTGGACCATGGGCAGGGAGGGCATGAGGAGACGAAGGGTGATGGGCACGGTTGCTAGCTAGCGTGGAAGGTTTCTCGGGTGTATGGCCCATCTAAACTTGCCAGAGAATTTGTTTCTGGACTATGTATGCCTGCTGTCATGTGTCAGGTACACACTGCTGAGGCTGCTAATAAACACAAGGCCACCAGCATGGTGCTCAATGCAGAGGGGCCAGGGCCAAGCCACCCACTCACTGAGCATCACACAGGCCCTCACGGAGGGACAGCTGGCACCAGTTTCATGGGCAGAGGATACCGCAGAGGAGGAGGTGGCTGAGAAGGCACAGTCTGCCCCCCTGTAGCCCAGGCCTCTGGGGAGCCATGAACAGAAGAACATGTGAGGAAGTGGCACTGGCCAGGTGGTCATCTGAGGGCAGACAGGTGGTCAGACAGGAGCAAGGTAGAATGCAAGGAAGGCAGGCTGTGGCCACAGGGTCACCAGGCCAAGGCCTAGACCTGGCCCTGTGCTGGGCGCAACAGGTGACAGCAGCTCTTAGTGTCTGTCCTCAGTCAGCTTCTTGTCGCTGGGACAGAACACTTGTCATACACAATGTAGAAGAGAGGTTTATCTGGCTCATGATATTGGGCTGTAGTCCATGGTCACCAGGCTCAAGGAACAACTGCATGGTGGAAGGGTGTGGTAGAGGGCAGCTGCTCACAGCAGGGAGACCAGGAAGCAGAGAGGACAGGAAGAGCCAGATGAATCAGGAACCTGTGACCTCTTCCTCCCAGCCCACTCCCACAGCATATTCTTGCACTGTGAGCTTGTGCAGAGGTTGCCTGTGAGGCTGGCACCCTTGGGATCCAGGCACCCCCTCAGAAGCCCCACCTCTGAAGACTGGAGACCTTGGGGACATTTAGGTCCAGACCAAGAGAGGTGGGAGCTGACTGCTGCCTGTACTGGGAGGCACACCAGGCCACTTCACAGCCATACTCCAGGTCAGGGCAGGGTCCGTGATGCTGGTGGGAAGATAGGAAGACCGTGAGGATGACCGGCTGAGAACCCCGGCCCAGTCCATTCAGAAGGTGATTCTCTAAGTGGACTCTGGGCTCCTGCTGCTCCTGATGCTGGAGGCAGGTCTGTGTCTCAGTCAGACATGACCCCAGGGCCGAGGAAGGGCCTGGGACCCCCTCCTCTGCCCCCAAGGGGTGCTCGAGCGTCCTGGCTGCTGCTGCAGCCCAGGTGAGCCCACCTCACTTGCTCCTCACTGGTGTTGGGCCTGGTGGGCGTGGGCTTTCGCTTCTGCCATACTGCTGAACTTGAGTGACATGGCCCACTCAGACCTCCTCCCGGCCTTAGCTCCAGTCTCTCTGCAAAAGGGACGAAGGTTCTGCAGGTGAGGGGATGGAGGGTTGCCACGAGGAGGAGCCCAGTCAGCAGGGGCTGGGCTAAGGGAGGCCTTTCTCTTGCTGCAGGTGGCCCATGGGACAGGGCTGGGTAGGGACAGGAGGGAGCACCCCAGAGCCATCAGGCCAGCTCAGCTCAGGGCCCAGACTGCCTGCAGAGGGTGACCGGGCAGGAGCCCTGGGCAGAGGCAAGCAAAGCCAGGCAAGGCCCAGCCTGCGCCATATGGGTGCATCTTCCTGCCGCAGCTCTGTGTTTCCTTCCTAGAGCCCCACACAGACCCAGCCGCTGGGGCGGCCCTGGGGGAGCTCCTGGAGCTGAGTCCTGAAGGACGAGGAGACCCTGTGTGGGAACAAGGCCTGTGAATTATAAAGGGCTGTGCGAGTGGAAATTATTATTCTTATCATCATTTGTATCCAATTCATCAATCACTGGGGAGAGGAGGAATGCAAGTACCTTTTATCTGCTTCTGTGAATCAAATAGAATAGGCTATGTTTTTCCAAAAGGTTTTTAGGGTAAACGAGACAGTTTCTGCTTTTCAAAACAATCCATCTGGGGCCTGTGGCCAAGTCTGTGTAGAAACAAGATGCTTCCAGGGCTGAGAAGAGCCCAGCCCTTGGGTGCCAGGGGTCCTCACCTTGGGAGGGGACAGAGGGAGGCCACCAGCTGCCTCCGCTGCCCAGTGTGCTGTCATTACTCACAAGGGCTGGCCCAAGATTTGCAGAGGCCCCATGCCCTTGGGTGCAGAGTCAAGCCTGGGGTACCAGTGCAGTAGTGCCCACTTGCTCCTGGTCAGCTGGGCAGAAGCTGTCAGCCCCTCTGGCAGCCCTGGAACAGAGCTGGTCTTGACGCACACAGCTGTCCTCATGCAGAGGTTCGGCCCCGCCTGCTGGGCGACTCCCCGGCTGTCTCCTGACCCTGCACATGGCATGCACAGACCACCGTTGGTGAAAACAGCAAGGGTCAGCATGGACGAAGGCTTCCATGCAAGGTCTGTTTGGCTGTACTTCTGGTTACTGGCTTTCTGGCAGGTGGTTACTGGCTTCTTTTAGTATTGAGATTTTCCTTCCATGAGAAATGTATATAAGTTTCTAAAAATCTGAGCTCAGTGGGTGTAGGCCACACACACGGAAGTCAAGACCAGGAAGGTGGTGGAGGCTTCCAGAGTGGGGGATGTGTCACCCAGGGCCACGAGAAGCCTGCCCATTCCAGCTGAGTGGTGGCCCTGTGGATGTAGCTCTCAGAACCGCTACCTGGATCCCGTGCACCCTTTCTGCCAGCCTCCTTCTGGCCTGAGTCTGGCCACCCCTCAAGCACAGTTCCTCCCGGATGTCCCCAGGCGTCCTCCTGATGGTGTAGCTGCCCTAGGGCCAGACTGAGCAGCTGTCAGCCCTTGGGACTCGTAGGTCACCCTGTGGACTCCCCTAGGTGTCGAGCCATCGAGAAACCTGAGGGGCAGACAGCAGCTTCTACCCAGGGACCCTTCCTTCTGATGGCCATCCTGCTCCCTGCCATCTGGACCCATCCCCCTCTCCAGCCCGGGCCCCATCTCTGTCCTGTCCCTGCTGTCCCCACTGACGCCCTCTCCAGAGGAGCCAAAGCCACCCTATGCCGCCGGCCACATCGCCTCCTGTAGGGAGACTCGGGCTTATGTTGTCACCTGTGTGGCTCTCCCAGTCTTGAACCCTGTGCCCTTTAGTCCTCATCGCTTTGGGGCTTGCTGGGGGCCTGGAGCACCCTGTCTTCTGCTCATGCCACCTCTGGGTCAGCTTCCTTGTCCCCCTCGGGAGGCCTTGTGACTATGTTGGGACATGGCAGCCACTGCTGGCTGGCTCACCCTCCCACAGCTCATGCTCCACTGACTGCCAGACCCCCCGCCAAGTGTTTGGCTTTATTTTAATCTACTGGAGAAACTCAGAGACAGAGAAGCTAGCCACCTTGCCCGGGTCACACAGCTACTAGGTTTGAAGGCGGAGTCTGGCTCCAGAGACAGTGCCGTAAGCATCCTGCCAGTTGCTCTGGTGCCTGGTGAATGTTTTGCTGTAGGGTGGATGGAGACAAGCCAGTCCCGGCTCCTGCCCTTGAGGGGTCACAGCAGCTAGACAAGTGTCACAGGCTGGGGTAGCCAGGAGGTACAGAGGCCCTGGTTTGGGGGATGTGGCAGCAAAAAGAGAAGTTGTGGGCCTGGGGTACAGGGGCAGCTCTGCAAAGCCCTGAGTGGCAGCTCTCTGGGGCAGCCCAGTACATGACTGGAAAGACTGCCTGGCTCGGAGTGGCGCTGCAGATGTCCTCATGGACCAGAAGTGACCGAAGGAGTCTGTACTCTCCCCACAGAGCATAGAGGGAAGGGTTGCCTTGTGGATGTTTTCATCCATGCATGCATTTCGAAGGTCAGCAGTGGAGAGGGTGTAAGTGAAAGTCCCCGGGCATGAGGAGGGATGCTCCCTGTTCCTTCCCTCCAACTCCTGTCCTTGTTGGTATGGCATGGCAGCGTGCCCTCCCTTGCTCTGCACTCTGCTGTCTAACCCAGAACATGATGCCCAGGGCCACTTGTGCTTGTCCTGTGTGGTCCCGGCGTGGTCCCCAGAGGACATACACCACTCGCTCCTGTGCACGCATGGCTTCCCACGGGAGGGCGGAGTGGATAGGGCAGAGGCTGTGCACTTGTGATCTCCATGCAGTCCCCAGTGGGAGGCTGCTCATCAGCACGGCCTGAGTTTGCCATGGGAGGGAGGACCTACAGAGCAGGGTTGGTGAGAACACGAGATGGCCCAGCAGGGCAGAAGAGGCCTAGGAGAAGCCCCCAGATGAGTACAGCTCATGCAGAGTCAGGCCGGGCCCTGCCGTGTTTTCACACACGAGCATAGTGTCCCCTCTTGGCCTAGGCACCTACAAAGAGATGAGGAGCAGCAAGACAGCAGGCGTGCGGGGCCCACAGGAGATCCAAACACTACTGATGCCTTCCTCCTCTGCCCATGCCTGCTGTCTGCACAGGCGATGGACGACTACAGCGTGATTGGCCGCTCTCTATTCAAGAAGGAGACCAATATCCAGCTCTTCGTGGGGCTCAAGGTGCACCTGTCCACAGGGGAGTTGGGAGTCATCGACAGCGCCTTTGGCCAGAGCGGCAAGTTCAAGGTCCATATCCCTGGTAAGTGCACTGTCTGCTCCAGCTCCAGGGCACCATGCAGGGAACAGGAGACTGGCAGAGATGGTTCCAGGACATGCTGCTTGGCTCAGGTCACTGATCCTGCCTTTCCAGTATGCATCCTGGGAGTCTGGACATGGGATCAGGATCTGGCCTGAGCAGGGTCAAGGTCAGAGTCTGAGCTCCCGCTTCCCCTTCTGGGCGTGACATGGCCCAGCTCCTTGTGAGTGAGGATGCAGTGCTGATCCCACAGGACAGTGTAGACTCAGCCTGGCACACACAGCAGCGCCCCACATGGGGGAGGACCTCTCAGCAGTGAGAGGACCTCCCTCCAGGTCAAACTGACCTTGGATGCCGATGGGCCAAGGGGACAGAGCCTTGGGTTTCTTCCCGCACTGGTCCCTGGGCACTCAAGTATTGATACCACTTGCATCTTACAGAGGGTCTGCCAGGCGCCAGGCCTTGAGGTGGTGGGAGGGACGGACAGTGAGCACACCACATGTGTACGTGTGTATATGTGTATTATGCGTGCATGCACAGAAAAGAGGCGTGGGAGTGACAGAGGAAATGTTCACGTCCACGCACTGTGATCCTTGATCTTTTGTTCCCAGCATTGTCTTACTAAAAATTCCCAACACAGTCAAGTTGAAGAATTTCCCCGTGAGCCCCTGTCAGCCTCCCCTCAATGTCACCCGGACCATTCCTGTCCTCTGTGTCATAGCTCCAGGCTGGCCATGAAAGCCAGGGGCAGCGGTGAGGGGGCTCTGTCAGCACAGCAATGTGGCGTCCATGGGGAATCTCCCTAAAGACGGGCGGTGTCCCAGCCCAGCCAGGGAGCAGGACTCCATGCAAAAGTGAGGGGACTGTGACCTCCCTGGAGCCTTCTCTAAGCCCCCAGGCCACAGACAACACTGCCCTTTCCCGGGGAGGCCGGACCACGAGGCCACCAGGGCCTGCTTCTCTGTGGCACTGGGCTGTCCTTGTCTGACTGCACTCCCAGGCCTCCACCAAGCTGGGGCAGAGCTGGGAGGCAACACAACGCTGCTGCGAGATCCTCTGCCTTCCAAACCCTGTCCACCCTCCCACTGCCCCTTGGCTTCTACAGTCCTCCCTTCAGCCACCCCAGAATCTTGTGGGTCCCCTCATCTTGGGTGTGCACTGTGCCCAGAGCCTGGAACCTTTCTCTGGGCTCCAGGGAACATGGAGGGGGATGAGCCGGGCCAGCTTCTAGACCTCCTAGACCACTCTGCCAGGCTGGGGTGTGCTTCAGTGAAGGAGGCCCTGTGGGGGGCCTCAAGGTGCCTTCGTGGTCACCCTTCTCCAAAAGCACTGTCCCAGGCAGAGGGAGGAGACCCCTCTGCATCCTTCTGGGTGGTTTAGGACCATGCTGGTCTCCACTCACTCCCCTCCCCCTGGCCAGGGCACTCTCAGGGCTGGGTATCCCTGTAGGAGGCAGGAGGAGGCAGCCTGGGTGTACTCCCAGGCAGGGCAGGCAGGCGGAGGGAAAAGGGATGCGGCAGCATGGTGCACCAGAGTTCACATTCCTCTGCAGGTCAGCTGCCTTCTTAGTTGTCTGTTTCCTGTTTGTGGTGTTCTTGTTAAACATCGCTGGTCAGATTCCTTCATCCCACCCTCCACCTTCCATCCCTCCCTGGCCCTCCTGCCAGTGCCTCCCTTTAACCTTTTTGAGGAGCCTTCATTGTGAAAGCGTCTTCAGCAAGCCAGAGCCATCCTGTGCCAGGGAGGAGAGGGCGTGGCGGGCTGCAGGGCAGCAGGGAAGCCAGATCCCATACTCGGAGGCTCCTCAGGGTGGGGAGCAGGGCTGCACTCTGCAGAGCAATCTGGGCTGGGGCAAGACAGACAAGGTCCTCGGGTGCCCTTGTAGCGCCCATACCTGGGGTTGCAGGTCAGATGCCTGCAGGGCCAAGCAGGGATTGCAGAGCCAGGTGACAGTCAACGCTTTGACTCTCACTGTTTGGGTTTGTGGGCACTGGGCCCTTTCTGTCTCACCCTGTAATTAAAACAAACACTATCTGAATGAAACAGTTAGAGGCTGGAGGAAGGGCTAGGAAGCCTGCACTTCCGGAATTGCTCCCCTCGGAGTCCTTGTGTTGTCAGGACCCCACAGTGGCTTTGCTGGAGAGAGAGTGGGCAGAGGAAAGTGCTGGGCACAGACGAGGCTCCTACCTGTGTGGCTGTATCCTGAGAGCCATGGGTTGAGTCCGCAGGCCCTGCCCTCTCTTGTCCCTACATAGCAGGGGGACAAGAGCCCCATCTTGGGGACTTTCCACTGAAGAAGAGCTAGGGGACAAGTGGAGGGGACTTGTTCCTGACCCCTTCCAGCTCTGAGTCGCTCGCTTTGGGAGAAGAGGCAAATGTGCATGCAACTTTCTCCTCTAAAACCCTGCAGCCTACGCCGGCTCCGCCAATGGCTAGATGCATGGTGGGTACCCTCCACAGGGGTCCTTGCCAGCTGCTCTGGAGAAGCTGCCCTGGGTGCCCACTTCGGCACAAGGTGGGTGGATCCCAGCCCTGGTATAGAAAGCCGTGGGTCCCACATCCTCCTGGACACATTCTCCCCATCAAGTGACCATGCAGATGCCAAGGCACAGAGCTTCGAGCACTCACTGGATTGAAGCCAAAGCCACAGTGCCCAGTAAGGGCCATACCAATGCCCGTCCTACCCATAGGTGCCACCCTCATGCCAGGGGCCAAGCACCTTCCTTGTGAGTCAGGAGCTTGGTCTTATTGTGAGGTTGCCAGAGCTTGTGGCTCCTGCTGATTTTCATTTAGGGTGATCGGCTTTGGGGGATCTTTAATAACCTTTTAAATTATTATTGGTCACAACTTAATGCGGTTTAAGCAGATGGGACACAAATGAAAGAGAATTGTAGAATCATTACCCAGAGGTGAGGACCCACAGGCACTTTGGTTTACTACTCACCAGCCCTCAAGATGAGGAGTCCAGTAAGCCCCCAAAGGTGGCTGTCCCTTACCCCGGCATTGTCTCCACAGCCCTCAGCACTGGGTCATCCTTTACAGGGCAGGAGCTGGGGCTCAGGTTGCCTGGTAAGTGTTAGAACCCGGGTTCCAACCCGGAGCACTCATTCCTGACCATTCTGCAGAGGCCCTCTGTGCAGAAACCAGACAGGCAGGGTTGCTCCCCAGCCCTGGCCACTACCACCACCATCACCACCATTTTACCCAGCTCTCCACAGCTACGTGTGGCACTGTCCCACTCCACAGGGGAGGGGACAGGTTCCTTGCTCACAGTGGCACAGTCAGTGGTGGCCAGTGTCTCAGTCTGCCCCTCGTCCCCAGGGAGGCTACTGTGGACGCATTGGGGCTGCTCCCACCCTGCCAGCTGGCTTTTCCCTGTGAGCCTCCCACCCGTCCCCAAGACTCAGGTTCCAGCAGGATCCTGCACCATGTGCAGAGACAGCAGCACACTCTGTCACCCTGTGTCCCAGGACCAGTGGCACCTTTACCCCTCCACCAGGATTTTGGTGCTGCTTATAGAGGCCCCCCTGTGTCAGAGTTCCTGCTGGATGCTGGCGTGGAGTTGAAGGTGGTGCAGAGCCTATGCTGGCCACCCACAGGCAGCACTCTGTGTGTCCCTCACCAGCGTGGGGGCAGGGACCCAGACCAGGGCCGCAGGGCTTTGATTGTCCAGGTCAGAGTCAGGAGGGCTGTAGCACTTGGAGTCACCTGCTGGTCCCTTCTCATCTGTCAGGCCTGGCATCACTGGCCATCTTCCTTTCACCAGCCTTCCAGTACCACGTACCTGCTCCTCCATGTGCAAGCCTTTGTCCCAGTGTCAGACTCAGCGCTAGCTTTTGGGCGCCCAGCTCCATGAGTTCACTGCAGATTGTGTGTCCACAGTGCTAAGTGTGCCCAGCCCCCAGAGCCCCTGCTCCCTCACAGTTCGGGCTGGGCCCACAGCAGGCATCCCTGCTCTAGGCCAGAGGCTGGTGGTCCGAGTTCACAGGGACTGGCAGGGCTGGTTCATACAGAGGCCTCCGTCCCTGGCTTGTGGGTGCCACATTTTCCCTGTGTCTGCATGTGGTCTCCTTCTGTGTGTGCCTGTGTCCTCATCTGTTCTAACAGGGACACCAGTCTCCTACAGGAATAGGATCCATCTTAGTGGCCTCATGTTAATGTGCCCTCTTTCAAGACCACAGCCATATTCTGAGGTCCTGGAGGTTGATACCTCTCCCTGTGAAGGTGGGGATGTGTTCACTTCGTCACTGTGAGAAGGGTGACATTATGCAGATGGTCTTCTACATGTTTATGCACTGTGAGCCACATTTGTGCTGTGTGGCATGGTACACGAGGCCACAAGGTCTTACTTCAGGGCCCCTGGCTAAGACTGGTATCAAAGCAGCTTCCCAAAGGAGGGGACACTGCTTTGGGCTCTGAGGACAGGTGGGGCCCCTATGTTCCTAGAACATGTCTGAGTCAGCCAGCACATAGCATAAAGGACACAGCAGTGCTACATGGGCCATTCCTGTTGGACCCGAGTGTCACCACAGTGACCACCCATCCATCCACCACTGTGGATTCCCATGCCTGCAAGTTAGAGGCACATCTCTAAGACTATTACAGGACTGCACCCATCTTTGGGCCGAGGACCATGGACTTATGTCCCCTCCCCACATTACAGGGAGGGAGCCTGGGACTGGAGACCCAGGCATGCAGCTGGGCCCATCGCTGACCTCACCTTGTCCTGGCTTCATGTGGTAGGTGGAGGAGCCAGGCGTCCCGTAAGATGCCTTGTCTTGGCACTTCCTCCCACCCAGAACCAGTCCCCTGCCACCACCACCACCCTGATGTGAGCTGGCTTCCCCTCAGGCAGGCTGCACATGGGACTGGGGCTCTGTGACAACCAGCCTCCTGCATTTGCTTGCTTGATGATTCTTCCTGCCACCACCAGCCAGGGGAGCTGGGCCTCCTGGACTCCGTGAAGGAGTTGAATGTCTGGGATCAGGTCGCAGCCTTTGAGA